TTAAGCATCAATTTTCTTAGAAACCATAGCTACCCGTGCATTATGTGACAAGCCTGTTGAACTACTCTACACAATAAGATGGTAACTATAAGTATGTGGCAAGATCTCTAATTTCACTTTGAATTCTAACATTACTTTGCAGTATGGAAAGCTAAAGTTAACCATTTGTAGCTCAATTTCATATTAGGCTTATTAGTGCCTAAAAATTTAAAGTTGAAATGCTTACCAATGTATTAACAGCTATAATCAATCAATTCCTATCCCATATCTTTGAAAGTATTAGCTTGTTTTATGTAGAATAATATAGTTTTTAGTGCAGCAAAAATAATATAACTCATACTAATGGCATATTAGAGGGATATATAAAATTTTTACCCATATATTTTGCAGTCTCAAAAATGTGAATAAGATCTAATGTTGATGAAGAAACAAGAAATCAGTTTGTAAAATAAATGCTAAAGGATTTTATGCAGGGATTATAATTAACATTTTTGTACTTGCAACCCCACCTAATAAAGTACACTGCATGTGGGAGGAAAAAAATATGTAAGTTTTGAATGAACATGCTTCTTTGAAAACAGAAATTAAGCCTACAATGCAGACTTTGTTAAAGGTCATAGAAAATCCAGCTGTCGGGCTGGGTGCAGTGGCTCATGTCTATAATGCCAGCACTTTGAGAGGCCAAGGTGGATGGATCACCTGAGCTCAGGAGCTCGAGACCAGCCTGGCCAAAATGTTGAAAACCCCGTCTCTACTAAAAATACAAAAATTAGCAAGGTGTGGTGGCAGGCACCTGTAATCCCAGCTACTTGGGAGGCTGAGGCAGGAGAATTGCTTGAACCTGGGCGGCAGAGGTTGTAGTGAGCTGAGATTGTGGCACTGCACTCGAGCTTGGCGCATAGAGGGAGACTCCATCTCAAAAAAAAAAAAAAAAAAAAAAAAAAACAGAAAATCCAGCTGTCTCATTTTCTTGCAGTAGTGTACGATCAAAATGGTACAAAGTTCAGTTTCTGTAACCAGTTATCTATCTAGCACCTATGGTATGTGGCCAGGTAGAGTGAACAGAAGAATGGAGGAGACCACACATCATTCTTTTGAGATACTTATAATTCTACAGGTATCAATGGTAATACATTTCACTGAAGCATAAATCCTCATGAGACAAAGTCATTTCCTTAAAGTATTTAAACAAATGCTATTTTGTGTCAAGACAATATTCAGAATTTACTGTTAAAGGACATGAAAAAAAATATATATATATATATATATTTTTAAGACGCAGTCTCACTCTGTCTCCCAAGCTGGAGTGCAGTGGCATGATCTTGGCTCACTGCAACCTCCGCCTCCCAGGCTCAAGTGATTCTCCTGCCTCAGTCTCCCGAGTAGCTGGGATTACAGGTGCCCAGCACCACACCCAGCTAATTTTTGTAATTTTAGTAGAGACAGGGTTTCACCATGTTGGCCAGGCTGTTCTTCAACTCCTGATCTCAGGTGATCCACCTGCCTCAGCCTCCCAAGGTGCTGGGATTACAGGCATGAGCCATCATGCCTGGCCAAGATTTCATTTTATTAAGAAAGACTGGCAGTGATAATGATTCTTTATCCCCTACATGACTTTTCAAAGTTTTATTTTAGCTTCCTCTATCCTCACCCACATTTCCTACCACTGTTGAAGAAATAATTTGGTTACACTAAATTCTATTTGAGAATTCTAAGCATTTCACCTAAATAAAATTAATTTTAACTTATGAAAGAAATGACATTGTAATTCCTCTGATTCCTAGGAACCTTCTCACTTCCTTTTTTCTTGCTGTAAAAAGTATCACTCTTGGTAGACACTTAGTTTCTTTGGGCTCTACAATTCCAACAAAGATTTGGAGCCACACTTAATCATATTTTAACTTTCTCGGCACTTATTTTCCCAATTTAGACATACATATCAGTAAGAACATATAAGAGTTTGTGCTGGAAATTTCTCATTCCAGATGAGATTTTTTGAAATTAAAGCAATAAAATGAGTCAGTTCAGAGACTTGTACTTACAAGTTCAAAACCTGAGAAAAAGTCATTACAACAAAATCTAGAACTAACATTAAAAAATAAAGTCTAGACCCTTTGCTTATACAGCTTTTTCATGTTTCTGACTTGTCACTCCTCCCATCATCCTTGGTGGTTTTTCACATCTTGCCAAAGCAATCTGTATACAGCAGCATGATGTGTGTGTTAAGTAGAACTAGGCATTTTCCTGGATTCTTACATTTTACTTAGCTTTGTTATAGAAATAAAAATTAATAAGACATCTTCAGGCTATGAACCCCACTTTCTGCCACATATCAACTACATTATTTCTGTGTTGCCTTCTACTTTCATATAGGTTTTATTTATAAACTGCTTAGTCCCACTTGACATATTTCTCTTGTTGCTTCTTTGTGATCAATCTGGGTTATAGATTTCATGAAAGTAAATCAAGAGTTTTCCCCCAATGTATTGCATTATAGTAGAACTAACCCAATGACTGACAGTTGGCCTCTTGAGGGAACCAGATACTGACTTATGTTTCCAGCGAAATGTTTAATGCAGAACTCTGAATTCAAACTCAAAGCAGAATATATCTTGTGATTATTTTTTAAATTTTCCTTAAAAATTAGGAAAATATATAGTTGCTTTAGGTGTAAAGGTCCATATTTTCATGTACAGAACTTGAGCATTCTGATCTGGGCCTTTTTTTTTTTTTTTGAGACAGAGTTTTGCTCTTGTTGCACAGGCTGGAGTACAATGACGTGATCTCAGCTCACTGCAACCTCCGCCTCTTGGGTTCAAGCCATTCTCCTGCCTCAGTCTCCTAAGTAGATGGGATTACAGGCACCCACCACCGTGCCTGGCTAATTTGTTTGTACTCTTAGTAGAGATGGGGTTTCACCATGTTGGCCAGGTTGGTCTAGAACTCCGGACCTCAGGTGATCCACCTGCCTCGGCCTCCCAAAGAACTGGAATTACAGGCATGAGCCACTGGGCCTGGCTGATCTGGATCTGTTTTACATTTAGCACCATTGTTTTTTCTTTTTCTCCATTTATTTCTTTTATGAGGTAATTTTATAGTTTTAGAGTTAATTAGCCTATGGTTAGATTACTAATTCTACCGTCCACCAACTCGTGAGCTTGATGTATGAGTTTCCTAAGGCTGCTATAATGAAGTACCACAAACTTGGTGACTTAAAACAAGTGAAATTTATTTTCTCACAGTTCTGGGGGCTAGACATCCAAAATAAAGGTGTCGGCAGGGTCAAGATCCCTCAGAAGTATCCAAGATTTTTTTCTTGTCTCTTAGCTTCTGGTAGTTGCCAGTAAGGTTTGACTTTTCTTGCATTACCTCCAAAAGGCCAGTGGGGTACTACTGTTTAATATCCCCAAGGATATTAATATAGATTTTAAGATAACCTATCTAGCATTCAGAAATCCCTTGGACCTTCTGAATGTATAGCATATTATAGAAATAAGGAAATAAAATCAGAGTTGCCATGTAGAATATAAAAGTTGAACTTCATGTCAGAGATCCATGCTAAAGTAAGGGAGTGGTTAATTTAAAATGAATTTAAATAATATAAATAATTGCATGCCTCTCTACTCTGGAGAAAAAAATGATGCTTCACTTGCTTACACAAAAGGCTGTATAGGAATGATGACATTGTTTCTTTTGTATCCCACAGAGTGTTGGGTACCTCAGTGCTTAATTATTTCCTTATCAAGGACCCATTCCCACCTTCTGTCTCTCTTGTTTTCCACCACTACTCCCCTCTTGAACGGATGATATTTTTTTCCTGGGTTAATGGGCAAATCAAGAAGGTCTGGTTCAGTTTCACAGATTAACTCAACATAGTCTCACCTCAACAGCTGCTCCTCTGTTATCCTTGTAGCAGATCCTTCCTAAGAAACTTGACCCTTTTTCTTTCTGAACCTTGAATTGTGACCCAGGTCCTTGACCTTGCCAGGATTCTTAAGTCCTTCAGGCCTGAAGACACCAATTCTTCAGGCTTTTCTACTCTTCCTTCTTATCTGGTCGACTTTGGTTTTGCCCAGGCCTTGCACCCTACAGCTACTGATGGAGGGTCCACTCTTACCTGCCAGTCACATGCTCCCTTGCACCATGGGTCTCACTGCCTTTTCTGGAAGGCATTCTTTTGCCCCTTTTGCTTTCAAAGGCTTTTATCTTTAATTAACGTGATCCAGAGAAAATCTCTAAATCTGCTCACTTAACTTAAAATTTGTTTGACCTGTACCTAGTACATATTAATTGCTTTTAATTTTAAATTTATTTTTTATTTTTCTAGATTCAAGGGGTACATGTGCAGGATTATTACATGGATATATTTCTTAATGGTGAGGTTTGGGCTTCTAATGTGCCCATCACCCAAAGTGTGAATTGTAAACATTGTACCCAGTAGGTGATTTCTCAGTCTTCGCCTCTCTCTCCCACTTCCCCCATTTTGGAGTACCCACTCACTTAACTTTTGACTTTGGAATGATTTCTAAACCACAATGATCTTGTAATTTCAGAGCAGTCAGGGGATTCTCCCAAATGTTTTGCATTACAGTGAAACTGAAGAGTAACCTACAGACAGCTTTTTGGAATAACTAGCTACCGAGTTGTACTTCAAGGAAAATGTTCAGTGCAGTATCCTGAATTTAGATTCAGACAGAGTTTTAAATAGTTTTATTTAAAAATTGGCAGGGGAAAACCAATAATTTGAATAATAGAGTCTCTTAAATTCAGTCTGAATTGGACTGCTTGCATTGGTCTGTCGGGCGATAACTAAATTTCCCTTTCAGTTGGTCCTGTTGAAACAGAACCATAAAATGGCTGTGATATTACTTGTCCAACATGAGAAAGAAATCAGCATTTTATTTACATTTGATCCCTGTTTCAATACACAAAAGCAACTCCAAAGTGAATGGTTTGAGATTTAAGGTTTGCTTACCTCTTCCCAACCCTTTGGCTTTTAGATTTGCTTGGAACTGTAGAAGAAATCCTTCCAAGCCTCTCAGAAAATATCAGTGTTTGGGGGATGAAAGATTCGGTTCCACAAGGCATAATTTCACTCAAAGAAAAACTGAGCACCTCATCTGATGAGCCCGTGCCACGCAGCCGCCATGTTGTCTCACTCCTCAAGTCTACTTGTCTTTACATTTTTACCTCTGGAACAACAGGTATGATCTAATTATTCTGAAGGCTAAAATGAATGCGACAAATTTGCAAAGCAATGGTGTTGGGCAAATTTCTACCATGGGTAGTGACCAACCATCTGAGAACGCATGCTTGCAAGAAGATGTAAGGATCTCAGATGCTAGAACTTTCCAACTTGAATGGAAAGTTAATTATTTTAACTTTTACTTGAAAAGTCATCTTGTTCATTTGGCGTTTGTCCCATTTGACAATATTTTCTTAAAGTTTGGTAGTACAAAGGGCACGGGAGTGTCCAAACACCCTGATCCAGTCTCATTGCTCAGTGTATGATATTTGACTTTTTAGGCAAGATCTTTGTTAGCTTCTCTGATCCTCAAATTTGTGATATCTAAAATAAAGAAATTAGTTTAAATAGTTTTTACTGATTCTTTTGGATTTAAAAAGTGTTTTAATATACCTGAAAACAGTTCTCTATATTCCTGTGTAAATTATTAAATCCTAAGCATAATCCAGGTATACCTGCAATTTAGGCACCTGTCGCTGGCTCTCCTGATTTTGGTTAGGGTAATTGAATTATATGACAAACAAGAAATCTTGAAGGCATTGCAAGTTTGGACAAAGATACAGCATAAAATCAAGTAAATAAACTTTATTTTAAGTAAACAACAGCAATAACAAAGAATAATAAAACTGCCTGAGAATTCAAAAGAAGGGCCTGGCACAGTGACCCACACCTATAATCACATATTTTGGGGGCCAAGGCAGGAGGATTACTTGAGACCAAGTGTTTGAGGCCAGCCTGGGTAACATAGTGAGACCCCATATCTACAAAAAAAAAAAAAAAATAGCCAGGTGTGGTGGCATGCACCTGTAATACCAGCTACTCAGGAGGCTGAGGCAGGATAATCATTCTATCCCAGAAGTTCGGGATTATAGTGAGCTGATTGCACCACTGCACTCCAGCCTGGGCAACAGAGTGAGACTCAGTCCTAAGAAAGAAGAGAAAGAGAATTCAAAAGATATGTTAAACTTAATTGATTTCTAGGAAAAACTGAGTGGTATTAATGGTAGCCTAAATAGGCTTTCATTATTAGTTTAAAGATGATCGGTGATTTGACTTAGTATTCTGTTACTTATTTCTTGTGCATAGGTTGTAAGTAACTATTGCATAGTAAAATTTTCCTTACATTTTAAAAATCTATTCAGTTCCTAATTGTAATCCCTTTTAGACTGGAGAATAGGATTTTTTTTTTTTTTTTTTTTTTTTTTTACTATGATTAGAACAGCTTTGATAAATGAACTGAAAACTGCTAATATGTGTGTGGCTACTCTGTCCAGACTCAGGGAGCTTCTCTCTGAGATTCTTCAGGCTACCTAAACAGATCTACTGAATAATTACAGGTCTAGAAGTTGGCAGATTGAGCAGATACACAGTCCCTTAGGACAAAAAGAATGGAACTAGAGATGACAGCTACAAAATTTTAGAAAAGGAGATGATGACTGAGTGTGGTGGCAGATACCGCAGACCTAAGAAGCTGAAGCTTATGGTAAAGCCTTGAAGAAAACTCATTTGCCCCCACCAAACCCCAGAAAGGCTCAGAAATTGGGTACCAGGTACCTCAAAGAGCAGAAAATAAATGTGGAAATTTTATGGGAAGTTTGTTTAAGAAGGAACTGTAGTCCTGGATTGCTTCTCCCACCCTGATAGAAGTCCTGAGGTGTATTCTCTGGAAAAGATGAACTTCTGAAAATACCAGGAAGAACAGGGGTTTAAAAAGTAGGGGATATAAGAGAACGTCTCCCTCTCTGTAAATATGTGTATATGTATATGTGTATACATATATATATAAGTTCTCTTTAATATATGTAACTTCTTTTAACACTTGACTGTTTTAATCATTAAGATTCTTGTCTGAGGAATCTGAATAGCCCATGTGTAAAAATTGAAAGACATTGATCATGATGGATTCCCCCAACAGAATGTTCTGGACAGAGAAACCAACTAGTAAATACGTGTTCTTCAGGCACAGAGATTCTAGTTAATGTTTTGCTTGTTTATTTTGTGTTTTTGTGTCTGCACTTTCAAACATAAACTGATAGTCAATAGTCTCCAGATATTTGAAAAAATCCTCCTGAATATATTCTAGATTAGATTGAGACCAATACAAACCAAAGATAAAAAGGATGTTGGAGAAAAGTGACAAGATAGGAGAAATTTTCAAAAAATTGTTATTGCTAATATTCTGAAAGATGGGGACAAAAAGGGTCAATAATGTAAAAATAACGTACTACAAAAAGAGGAATATTCAGAGAACACAAGTGTTGGAAAATAAATCTCTCAAAAAGTAAAGCAAAAGATAAGAGTAGAAAAATAGGATAGACAAAATTAGGAAATTAGTGATTCTGTCCAGGAGGGCTATCTTAAAAAAATCAAGAGTTCTAAAGATGAAAGGATGAACACACAAATAAATGTAACAAAAAAAAGCAATGGGGAAAAAAAAAACAGAAATAATGAAGGAACGAGAAGAAGGGGGTGTGAATTTTTTTTTTTTTTCAAATTCAAAAATATCTAGAACTGTAAGACCTGAGTTGTTAGACTGAAAAGGTCTACAAATTTCCCAGCGAAATGGATAGATGAGACTGGTCCCAGTACAAGTCATCATGATATTATAGACTACTGAAAACTAATAGAAGATTCCAAAAATGAAATAATAGAAATACCATGTTGCATCCAAAGCATAAGAAATCAGAAAGACTGATAATTGCTCAACATATATAATGGAAGTCAGAAGATTACAGAGCAATGCCTTCAAAGTCCTGCATAAAAATAATTTCTTACCTAGAATTCTTTACAAGCAGCCATTCAAGTGTATGGGTGGAAAAAAAAGACATATTCAGACACATGAGGACTCACAAAAACTTACCTCCCAAATACTCTTTATCAGACAGCTACTGAAACCAAATGTGCGCTACCACTGTAATTAATTTCTAGAATCTTAGATCTATACAGAAAGGCCAACTATAAAATTACATAGTGTTTGAGATACAGTCCTACTTAGCAACCGGTCAAAGGAGCGTTGCTAAAGTCAGAATGGCCTCTTTTACAAAGCAGATAGACTATGATATATTTTGTGTCAATTGCTAGTGTAGTTGTTATCAGCATCATCTTCCTTTCTATTACTTCCTTTCTAGTTATATGAATATGTATGCATATGTATATGTATGTGTGTGTATATATGTTTCCTGTTCTTTTCTTTTCTTCCAGGTCTACCAAAAGCAGCTGTGATTAGTCAGCTGCAGGTTTTAAGGGGTTCTGCTGTCCTGTGGGCTTTTGGTTGTACTGCTGATGACATTGTTTATATAACCCTTCCTCTGTATCATAGTTCAGCAGCTATCCTGGGAATTTCTGGATGTGTTGAGTTGGGTAAGGCTTTATTTCCTTTTTGATAAGTTTTCAAAATGCATAATAATTAGAACAAGTGTTTATTAACATTTGAAGCTTTATCGGTAGAATTTAGAGTGATTATATGCATATTATTTTATTATAACACAATATTTATTTTAAAAAACCACACAATTTTATGGCATATTCAGTGTTTTCCTGAGGTGAAAAGAACAGTTTTCTGAGGATTTGGCCATGTAGCTGGAGCTGGCTATTGGCTGGGCTTCTCTCTCCTTGTGGTCACTCACCCTCAAACAATATACCCCTAGATTCCTCAGATGGTAGTAGAAATGTTCCAAGGGAGTGAGTATGGAAGCTGCATGAATCTTAAGGCCTACTCTTGAAAGTCACATAGGTTATTTCACCTTCATTCCATTGATCAGAGCCAGTCATGGGCCAGACTAGATTCAAGATTCCAGGAGAAATAGAAGCCACCTCTTGAAGGGAGAAGGAGCAAATTTACATTGCAAAAGTAAGAGCCTTGAAGAAATTGCTGAGGCCATCTTCGCAAACAATCTGCCATAGACACTCAATACATTAGTTGGTAGAGCTCATGACTCAGTAGATTCCATTCATAAACATGCAAGATTATGTGTCAGTTTCTAGACGTCACATAATATACAAACAGTGGAGATCATTTGCTACTTATATTTGTCTAAAAGGCTGTAATTTTTAGAATAGAATATTTAGAATATTATCAATATCCACCATAAATAAAGATGAAGGTCAAGACATTAAAATCTTCACTGGACATACATTGTTGTGAAAACTAGGTTCTGCAGTCATTTAAGAACTTTTTTTTAGTACTATCTTGCCAATTCAACCTTACTAACAGTTGACTTCAAGATATGTTGAGACTGCTTTAAAGTTTTAAAACTGAATAATATGTATACATTCAAGTTCAAAAGCAAGTGAATATTCTTGACTTCTATGAAGAAGGATGACTCTTATCAATAGCGATGCTCTAATACTTTAACTCTTTTACTTATTTTGACTGTTGCTTTTGTCCTGTGTATTGCAAAAAGCATATAGAATTACAAAAATATAGAATAAAAAATAAAATTAAAAAATATAGAATTATAATATTTTAAACAGAGTTTTTGGACAATAAAATCAGTGTTTCCAAATGAGTTTGATACAAATTACTGACGATAAGTTATTAAAGTTTTAAAATGAGCAAACATGTTCTAGACAGAGAAACATAATTTATGTTTTATGTTCATTCTGCCCTTGAATTTTTTTCCCTAGTGCCTGTTTTTGTCTTTTCTTATAGGTGCCACTTGTGTGTTAAAGAAGAAATTCTCAGCAAGCCAGTTTTGGAATGACTGCAAGAAGTATGATGTGACTGTGTTTCAGTATATTGGAGAACTTTGTCGCTACCTTTGCAAACAATCTAAGGTAGGTGTAATCATTATCAGAAAAAAATATGTCAGAAGGAATAAGTATTGAGATAGAAAAAGTTATTTTTATTTCTTTGTTTATACTCTACCTTTGTTACTGGTGGGTCTTTGTTGTTAGAGCTCCCAAGATGGTGGCAGGCCACTCCCAGGATGGTGGCAAGCCTTGTGTTCTCTCACCTGGGGTTCTTGGCCTCACAGATTCCAAGGAATGGAACTTTGGGCCATGCAGTGGGTATTATAGCTCTATTAGAAGCCGTGGGTCATGGAAGAGAACCATGGAACCCAGCGACTAGTGTTCAGCTCAATTAGGACGAACTCCAGCACTTAGCAGCGCAGAAACAATAGTGAGCCTCTAGCCCCATGGGGAGCGGCAATGGGCACCTTGCTAGATTACAAGCACAGCAGAAACTCTGCTGGATCCAGAGGGGTAGAAGTCAGCAGCAGGTCTGCAACAGCAGCGATCACCAGTGGTGGATGGTGAGCAAAAACTCAGTTTGAGTCGAAACAAACGCGGACCAGAAGAGTGTGCAGTTGCAAGATTTAATAGAGTGAAACAGAGCCCCCATACAAGAGGGGACCCAAAGCAGGTTGCCACTGCCAGCTCGAATGCCTGGGATTTTATCCAGATCATTGTCCCTCCCCCTGTGCTCTCAGGCAATAGATGATTGACTATTTCTTTACCTCCTGCTTTCAGCCTACTTGGTATTTTAGTGAGCTCTCTTTACTACTTGCTTGGTCAGGTGTGAGCTGAGTTGCAAGCCCCATGTTTAAAGGTGGGTGCAGTCACCTTCCCCAGCTAGGCTTAGGAATTCTTAGTTAGCCTAGGAAATCCAGCTAGTCCTGTCTCTCACCTTCTTTCAGAACATAGTTTAGCTGACTTACAAAGATGCATGCAATACCCCAAGATAAAATAAGACAAGTGAAAGAAAATAAACAGAGAGCTATCCAAAAATGTACTAATGTGCTTTGTACTGTAGCAAGATAGGACAGACCCAAAGACTTTCTGTTTAGAATAATTAAAACTTCTACAAACATAACATGCAGCAGATTATGAAATTAGATTCATGCTATGTTTACAGAAAGCAATTATTCTAAGGTTAAAATAATCTTTTAAAATGCTGTTCTTTAAAAAAATGACTACTGACTACTGACTCTGATTATAATTTATATTCTATTTTTTCTTTTGAATAAGTGATTATATTAGGATTTTTTTGTTTTACTTTAAATTAAAATTTTAAAAAACTCATATTGCTTTGATTTGCACTTGTCTCCTTACCTGAAGAAGTCATTTCCACATTCTTTTGATCAACTGCCACCATCTGAAAAATAGATAAGCAGAGATAGTTGCAATAGCCTGAAGTTTATCTTTATCGGTTCATTTGTTTTTTTGCCCTCAGAAGTTATTTTCTGTTTCCTGGTTTCATTTATATCTCTAAATGCTTCTTCTTTAACTTTATGATTTTCTAAACATTCTTCAGACTATAAAGAAGTGACTTTCTTTAATCAAATTTATTTAATTCTTTAATTATATTATTTTATTATTTATTATTATAAATAATTCATCTTTAGTTATCTGATTATTTTACAAATAAAATCCACATCGGCCCCTTCAAGAATGACAGTAGAGTAGGATATTGCCCTGCGTCGGGTGGGGCAATGGAACCTTGGTCTTTGAGACCCACCTTTCCTAGACTAGAGGATCTCTCACTTATCACCTCTGCCACCATCACACCTACTTAAGGCATGAATGGTGTGCTGAGATATCTTCTCTTCTTCTCTTTGGCTAAAATCTGGACATGTAATTTTTCAGTTACCCAGAGCACAGCTGACACTAGGTTGGAGGCATTTAAATAAGACTTTTTAAAGATACGAGATTACATTGGGAAGATGGACACACAAAAAAATGTGAAATTAGATAATCTGATGTACAAATTGCTTTGATTGATTTTGAGCTTGGAGTTTACCAAGGAGAAACCTCCAGTTGAGCTTCTGACCCACCTCCGTGTGGCAGAAGCCATTCTTACCCATTTTTTGTCTGGAGTGCTTCAAATAACTATAGATTCCATAGATTCATAGCCAAGAAAAGAGTTTCAGATAATTGTTTTACATTTTTTGAATTTTTTTCTCTTCAAGGAGACCTTACTTCAGACAAGGGATGTAGTCTTAACCTAAAGAACCCCAGTAATACACTTAGAATGCCACAACCTCACATATTTTCTCTTCTAGTTTTCGTTGTACTTTTTGGTAATGTGATATCTGGAGTAGGTTAATTTAGGAAATTAATGCCCTCCAGTAAGATTAAGGTCACCTTCAGATGAGATTTCATGACTTTAGTACAGAATACAGTAGGTGCTAGCTAGTGAAGCTCATCTGTTTTCTAAACCACATGCTCCACTATTCCTGTTTCCTGTCAGCCATTAATGGTGACATTAGTTTGTGTAATGTCATTGATCAGTAAATATTTATCGAATGGTTGAATACATGGATTTACTTATTTCTAAAATTTACCAAATTAAATAATGCTGCATTTAGTGTCTTCATGCCATTGAGCTAATTTAGGTTTTCAGAAGTGAATGTAAATAGCCAAAGTATATGGATGCTTCTGCGATTTTTAGAAAATATTTCTAAATTGCTGTTCAAAGTGGTTGAAGTGATTTAGAATCTCATGCACATTATAGGAGTATGCCTGTTGCACAGTGTCTGTCAGTACTGGGTGTTATTAAAAATAGTGGTTTTCCAGTTGTGCTTCTTGGAAAATTAGAAGCTCTTTTAAGCTCCCTCAAAAGTTCCTGAAACACGGTGAGTCAGAGTAAAAGCAGGCCAATTTCCAAGGCCCACCCTTTCAAATATCATGAATTAAACCCAATTTCCTGAGCACCTCAATAATACTTTGTTTGAACAAAGGATGCCTCAGTGGTTTTTAATTAGAGAAGTAAATTTGAGTATTTACTTTTATTTATAATTGTATAGACTAGACACAAACATATATTAATGTGCTCTGTTAAGATTGCTGGCAAGGCGGGAGAGTTTTCCAGCTGTATTTCCCTTTTAAAAATATCTCTTTTGTGTCTTGTACTCATTTATTTCTTTGGTACATAATGTTTTACCTTATCCATTTGAATTCCCACTTCATATAATAAAGGTATTAGTAGTTTTTCATATTGGTTACAAATCTTTTCTCAGTGTTTTCCTTTAAATTTTTTAATGAAATGAAATATTCTTTTTAACTCTCTGAATCTGTATTGCACTGATTTGGAGAAAAGATTATAGCTTCAGAGAATTATAACTGAGAATTGAAAACAGAATACCTGATTGCTTTTTAATTAATTTAATTTTTAGGGGTGGGCCTGGTGATTCATGCCTATAATCCCAGCACTTTGGGAGGCCAAGGTGGGCAGATCACTTGAGGTCAGGAGTTTGAGTTCAGCCTGGTCAATATGGGGAAACGATCTCTACTAAAAATACAAAATTATTATTATTTAAATACAAAAATACAATATGGGGAAATGATGTCTACTAAAAATACAAAAATTAGCCGGGCATGGTGGCAACCACCTGTAACCCCAGCTACCCAGGAGGCTGAGGCAGGAGAATTGCTTAAACCCATGAGATGGAGGTTGCGTGAGCCAAGCTTGTGCCACTGTACTCCAGCCTGGGTGACAGAGCAAGACTCTGACTCAAAAAATAATAATAATTTAATTTTTAATTTTAATTTTTGACTAAATCTCTTTGAAGAAAAAATGATGTTTATGAAATAATCTGCAAATGCTTGCCTGAATGCAAACTGAGGAAGAAAGAAGGAAATATATATAGCTTTACCCAAAGGAAAACTTAACATTTTTTTTAAGCAGAGAAGCATTGTACTAGCTAATCCCCTTTGTTGACCTCACACAAAATGAGTACAAGCTGTTCTTGGCATTAAAAATTAGGAAAAGGAGAAAGTCATTCTGTTATGACATCTTTTCCCTTCAAGGAGATCTTACATTTTTGCTGTCCAATATTCCTTTCTGACATTCCCTTGAAAGGAAGACGCAGTTTCTGCTGCACAGCCAGCACATCAGTGGATTCAGGTAGAGCCAGAGAATGAACACATGGCATGGTCCTGGTCCTCACCTTCAAAGAATTAAAATGGAATGTCTCATAAGCCATGGTTTGAAGCCCCACAGACAGTTATTTAAAAGAAAGCAAAACCATGTGTTTTTAAAACAGATTCAGATTTGTTGACAATCTCAAGGTAAGTAGCATATTCCAAAGGAAATTGACCTGCAGGCAGAAGTCACAGTGTGAGTTGAATGTTTATGTGTAGTTGCACAAAGACTCCCTAGGGTTGGTTTTCTCTGGCCAGAAGCATTTATCCATTCCCATCTCTCAAACATGCACCCCATCCCTCACTGATTTTCTTTTTCGCAACTCCAGTTACAAAAGTTATTTTGGCATAAATATTAGATGTACTTCTTAAAACTGCTGGCAGCAGCATTATCCAGAAAAAGAGACTGACTCCTGTTAGTCATGGTGAGATGAAGTTGTTCTCTTCCCCTGAGACTAGGAAAGCAGCTCTCCCTCACTTTTAATCTACCAAGTTTTCTAGGTTACTAAAGCACCATCGTACAATCTGATTGGGTCTAGTTCTGTATTCATATTAATGTTGTCTTTAGTATTGATTGGTGAGGAATGTGTTGGAACTGTAGACATCAGTGAGCCTCCTGGGGAGTCTTGCTGCAGAGTTTGTCTTATATAAATAATTCTTCCTAACACAGTCAACAGTTAGCCGTATCTAGGGATGTATCTAGGGATAGGACCATATATGTAACATATTCATTTACTCATTCATTCATTCATTCATTCAAGTAATATTACAGGATTAGATATACAGGGATATGCAAGACAAATCAAACTGCTTCTCTCATGGAATTTATACTCTCTTTGATGAGGGGGAGAGAAAATAAACCCAGCAAACACAGAGGAAAAGTAATTACAGACAATGACAAGTGTTATGAA